GACAATGCGTATCATAACATATCAATCATAATAGTGCTACTCCAAGCAATGAAAAAAAAAATCCATCCAAGCAAGACTATCATCCTAAATCCTCATTTAGATGATTTTCTGAGCCAATCAGGCTGTTAAGAACACAACCCAGACAACCAGAATGCACGTATATTCAAAGCTGTTTTCGTGATATACAAACATATATACAAACAAACAAGTCGTATAGAATGCAAAGAAATGGCTTATACGTACAAATGTGGAGGCCATATACGTGCATATTTTCGTTTAATTTTAAACGAGTTGATTTAACATCATATGCTATTTGATCTGTAATAACAAATCCATTTTGAAAAGTCTTACGATGTAATCCTATTAAATTTGTGATACAGTACGACGGAAAAATGAGTCATCGCATATAAGTCGGAAATTTGCATTCTATACGATTTAACTTAAACATAATGCGAGGTATGCCATTCTAATATGCGATTTTGACTTAAACTGTAGCAATTTACGATACTGTCTGTACATTGTTATACGACTTCTGGTTGTCTGGGAATAAGGAACAAGAACTACAAGTATTCAGGAAGAAATCGACCTCTTCTGTTCTACGATTCCTACATTTACTCAAAGGCGCTCCAATCCGCTCAAAGGATCGATTTTTGTTGGACACTGCTGGATCGAGCAGACGCACCAATCTAGGTTACATTTTGTCAGACACAATTAGGAAACGCACATCCCCATTTGGAGGTTGAATTTTTAAACAACTAACAACGTCTAGCGTCTACGGAAATTGAATTTTATCAACCCTCAGGATCTCAGTTCAATGGATCAATGAAAATGCTAAGGTTTAGACAGAACTATGGCTGTGGCTACCACAGTATTTTACATTTGATCGTCCATATACAGTAGCGCCAAAAGCATGCTGTGGTGGGTTCAAAACTTGACCATCCAAATTGATCAATTCTGAAATCTCGCGTAACAAAAGGGCATATCCTCGTTGGTCGATTCTCTTCATCGACTTTCTCTTTGGTTTACCACGGCTACATAAACGGAAATTCCCGGTAAGCTCGCAGCACAGTTCGACTGAAGATGATGTTAGCTTGCGCCTGAAACAAAATACACTCAATGGAAAATTCATTTGCAGTCTGGCTATTCGCCAAAGAGAATCGATTAACAATGATAGGCCCTTTTCTCGTGTTGTGCGAGAAATGTTCCAACCCACAGTGCACAGTAGTCGTAGATGGCAACATCACGAATTTAATTTAAATGTGTATAAACATTGACTCAAAAAAGTGTGTACAGGTGTTCACATAAGTATCGCCCACAATCCTACAATTTCAAAAAAAAAAAATGGAAAACCTAACTTTTTCCCTAAAGAGATAGACGGATACTTATTTGGGCTATGTTTTAGAACTACTCAAAACTATCACACTTGAAAATACAAATTTTCTATATCTAATAGTTTTCAAGATATGGACACGCACATAGAAAACGGTTTCCCCTTTAAATTTAGTTTTTAATAGTCTAGAGATAATCTAGAGATAATCAAGGTAAGTATTAATTGAGGGGTCAGAAAAAAGGTTTTCAAGTGACAATCAGAAACGGCCACTATTATAAGGTAATATGAACAGTACACACTTAACACCCTTTAAATTCTGTTAATATATATCCATGAATTCTCGCCAAAAATCTTTCGGAATTATTCTTATAATTCACTTGCTATTCTCCTCACGATCTCCATAAAATTCTACTCAAAATCAGCTAGAAATTCTCCTTGTTGTTCTTTTCATACCTCCCATGGAATTATTCTAAAAACTCAAGCGTAAGATGAGAAATCTGCAATAATGGGTAACCGCATAAAAAATAATTGTAATCAACTCTATGCGATATGGTCTGAGGTATTGGTTGTGTATGGTACCCGTTTATTAGGGTCAGTCTTGTAAGCGGTCACCGTAGTCGACCTCGGTCGACACATTTTCTGTGATTATCGACTGCCTTTGCTTTCGACGCTTGCAAAACAAGCTATCAAATTACAGTACCAAACTAAAATGTCATATGACAGGCTATGTTTTACGACACTGTCGCCGAAGACCGTCACGAATGTATTTTAGTTTTTCTCACAATAAGAGCTGCTAATTTTGTCACATACGTGAGTGACTACCGACTGAGTCGGACGTGTGTGCTGTTTGCTGCTGCGTTCAGGCTGTTGCTGGTTCGAGGAAAGTGTTCGACGGAAGGCTGCTCCGGTAATACGGATTAGGAGGCGGATTGGTGGAGTGATACGAAGATAAGGTGGCGGTTAACACCCGCAGGTGATGCGCTATAATTTGCGTGACGGTTTCAATCGGTGGCGGTGATAGAAGAAGAAAGAAAAAGCGTGATTGAGACTGCTTTTGGCAGGATTGCTGCTGAAGGGGCGAAGGGTCTATGCGGGGAGGCCCAGTGTGCATATGTGTGCGAGGGGAGCGCAAGGGGAGTTGCGTTTAAGAGTGGAAATTGTGGATTCCACGCCGAACGGTAGCGATAATTTCGAGTGCGAGAAGGCAGGAAAGGGGAAGAAAAGAAGAAGCTGATAGTGTGGGGAAAATAAAAAGCCAAAAATATAGCGGCAAACAGTAGTGTGTGAGTGAGCTCCCTAAAGGAATACAGAGTAAAGCGGTGGTGAAATTCTGTGAGACGAAGAGAGTAGAAAGAGGACCAAAAAGAAAACGGTGAAAGAGAGCGGCAGCGGTTTTAATGCAGCGACAACCGATAGTAGGAGAGTGAGTGCCACATAGGTGTTTCATTTTCTCGTAGTAGGGGTTAAAAGAGAAAAAGAAGGAGAAGAACAGTGAAGTCCGACCGCAACGCGGTCCGCAAGAAAATAGTTTCCCTAGAAGCCCTTCAATTTAGTGAAGAGGAAGAAAGTGCTGAGTGGTTGCGATGATGCGCGTTGGTGTCGGCCAAATGTTGTAAAGGATCGTGATCGGATTTACCGGGAAATACCGATTGGAGCTTATGGCCATTAAGGACAGGTAAGTAGTTGGTCCATCAAGGTAAGATAAATTAATAAACATATAAAGTATCCGTTCGATTTTGGCAACACGTTCTCAGTATATTTAAACTGCTTGTGCTCTGCAGTTATATTATTAAATTCTGTTTAATAATTTTCTTAGATTTTCAGTAAAATTGTGGAGCTTTAAACGTCACCTGCAGGCCTGTTCTGCGAGTAGTATGGCTCTCTGTCGCTAGTAGGGTGACGGTGGTCGCCTTGTGTGAGGTGACTCTTCATTTGATTGCACGGAGAGTCAACCCACTAGTGCGTGACTTATGTTGACTCATTGGTGGCGGAGATTCGCACGACTCGCGGAATAGGTCAGATGATAAGATTTTCATTTATTAAAGATTTTGAAAAGCTAAGAAGGCAAAATTGTGTTGACAAAATCTAACGGGTAATGCCGATATAAATATATATATATATACACACATTAAATGCAAAGGGGAGGGATGGGACCACCAGGGCACCGGATTGAAGCGATTTGGATGGGGAGAGTGGAATTGCCAACTCCCTGTCATTAACATTTCGTGAATTGACGGCGGGCTCTTCTCCCCACTCATTGGGACGTTCCCTCGTATGATGGCTTGTTCCACATCGGGTTGTAGGATTTTATCATTGGAAGGCGATTCTCCTGATCCCGCGGATTGCGCGTAAGTGTATCTGCTTACGGGTCCGCCCCTCCGTTTTTGGCCCTTCTTACAATGGTAAATTGAATACAACCAGGTATCGTACTTGATCAAGTCATACTTGGAGGATGATCCACTGTCTAATGGCTGTGCCTTGCAACAATGAGTGGTATCCTTTACATACATACACATACATACAATAAGAGCTGCTAATTTTGTGCTTGTGTGAATTCTGAAAATAGCAAGCAACGGTGTCCTAGTAATAACATTTCTGATCAGAAATGGTTTAATTTACACCAAATTGAGGAATGAGAACGAAAGCACACATGTCATTTGATAGTTATTTGATAATTTTCTTTTTGCTCGAATGTTGTTCTACCGTTTATGTTGTGTAAGATAGACGAAGGTAGAGCATGAGAGTACGAATAAAAACAGACTGTCGCGCACGACAACGAAGCGCGTGTAGAAAAACCCGTTGACAGTTTCAACCTCTGATTAGGGTAGACCAATTTTTCCTCGAAAATTTGTAATTTATAGTCATTATTGAGTATTTTGCGATTACCATTTGCTGACAAATCTTAAGTTTGTTTTTGAAGGACTGTCAGTACTAGTACTAGTAAGTCATATTCACAAGATCTTCGTTAGAACTAATAAGAAAACTGATGGAAAACAATAAAATAAGCAACAGAAAAAAATACAGCTTTGCGGGAAGTATCGTAAGTAGGTACCTGCAGCAGCAGAATGACGGTTTCCTCATCAAAGCTGCCCGCCGGGTGGCACTTGCTGAGCGTATCAATGATAGTCTGTTTAATTTCCAGCTGCTGTGCCAGCAGCTGCCGTTGGAACTGCTCGGCTGCACTAGTAGCGCTCGAAGGCAACGACTCGTCGATGTAAAATTCCGAATTTACAAACTCATCGTCACCAGCGTAGCCAGTGCTACCGATCCGATCTTGCGAAGTTGATCGCTCCGACGACGAGGATGCCGTCCGAATGACCAACGAAGAGGATCCGAACGGTGAAGGCTTCCGCGAGGCTACCAATTTTAGCGCATCATTGTCGGCACTGGGACTAACGCCGGAACTAGGCAGCGATGGCAAAACACTACCACTGCCTTGGCACAAATCACGCGGACCGCCTTGTTCCAGAATGTTGGGAACAACCGGACAATCGGAACAAGGTAGATGCTTGTCAAAACTGTGACTATCGTTAGCTATGGTTTTCGAGCAAACTTTGTCAGTTGAAATCGAAACGGGGGCCTGATTGTTAGTATTTTGAGCAGAATCGCTTATCAGCAAAGGTTTAGCAGTATCATTAAAAGTAGTGGTAGTATTTTTTTGTGTTCGCACCTCTGTCAGTGTTCCTGCGCTCGTGAGCAGCACTTGTTCGGTCGATGTGGCCAAACTGCACGTTTCCACCTTTGGGCGTAACTTTCGACGGCGATCGACCGGGCTTTGACCGACTTTTTCAAACTCCTCCGTGTCAGTTTCAGATTCGCAGCCCCTGTAATTGACAAAATCGTATATGTTAGATTGCAGTTAATTCCTATTTTGACGCATCATCGTACTCTTTCGTTTGTAATTGTGCATTGTTAGCTGAATCCGAAGTTTTCTCATCGTTGATCGATCTCCCAGAGGCGCTTACAGCCTCTCCCATTTCCGCTCGGAACTCTTGCAGCCCGCTGCTCTTACTTTGAGTTCCATCCACCGATCTAGATGAAAAGAAATCTATCACAGAATCTATATTCGGTAGTTGGATCTTTTCCGTTAGCTGGGGTAGGAACCGCGAGAGCTCTTGTAGATCTGTGAAAGACATTAGAAATTTAGAAAATGCTCGGAATGAAACGTAATCTGTGCTTTTCACCATGCTTGTTCAAAGCCGGTAGACTAGAATCGAAAATCGATGGCGCCTGTATTGCGTAGGTCGGAGGCATGTCGTCCATTCCGGGAAACAGCGTACTAAGAAAGTGGCCCTCGAACTGAGAGGAAAATTCGTGCCGTCGCATGACCTCTTCGTTGTATATTGTCATTAGGCGGCAAGCTAAATCGGAAGCCCACTGCAAAAAGAAAGCAGCCAAGCATTAGGGATCAAGTTGGGAGGAATACGACAATTTTCGAATACTTACTCGTAGGAACGAACTGGAAAACATTCTTCGACGGACCACTTCCGTGACGGCACTAACGTACATGCTGGGCGCCATATGAATTTGTTCTATTATTCCCAAATGTTTCTGCAGGCGCTTCAGACAAGTGTGGTAGAATAACAGACTGTTGTCAATTTCATACACCTTAGTCTCCACGGGTATTATGAATCGACTGTAATAAATCAAACATAACATTTAGTTCATATTCACGCTGCTCTTAAGTATTTGGATTCCAACCTACCTCAACCGGAGAAACAGATTGTTGCCCAATTCGTCTTTTGATTTGGAACACTGCCGTCGAATCTCGTGCAGTTCTTTCTGATTTTTCAGCATCACCAGCAGCTGGCTCCGATGTGAAGCGCATAGGTCCGGTAGTATTGACGTATCACCCAGCGTGCTAGCGCGGTTCTGATTCTGCTGGAATGACTGCGCCAGCTCATTTTGATCCTGGACAAGCTTCCTGGCTTCGAACATCTTCCGCTCCAAGTCACACAGTCGTCTTTCTAGGCCTTTAATTTCCTTCATGTCCTCCTATAGAATGGAAATGAAAAATTTCCGTTTACCATAATTGGTGAAATGAACAAAAAGATTCACATACCCTCTGGGACAGCTCAACAGCCTTGTCAACACTTTCTTTCAGATTCTGCATGGCGGTGTTCTCAAACTGCCCCAGACCGCGAAGGCATTCGCTGGCCATACGTTTCAGTGCACTCTGCCCTTTGTCAGCTGAAATCCAATCCAATAGGGAAATTCCTATTTTCTTTTCGTTCTCGGATATATTTGTTTCGTTAGTAGTGGCCACCGCACAGGCTCCATCTGATTTTTCAACGACATTTTCTTCGCTGGGAGGTATATTTTCACTTCCCGTACTTGTTGACTCGTTGCCGCTCAGCTTAGCACTACCCGATGATGTGCTAGTAGCCGCATTACAGGCATCAGCATACACTTCATCGAATACTCCAAATGGGCGCGAGTCCGCATTTTCCATCAGACTGGACAGGATCGGAATCTCCGACAGTTGCTTCAAATCTTTATCGAACCTGTGAGGGCAACAAAGCAATCAACTACACCCGATTCCACGAGACAAAGCGCGATATACTTACGAAGATAGAATATCGACGTGTTCCTTGTACCGCTGCCGGTGCTCCTCGTATCGTCGGTAGAAGTCGGCGACTCTTTCCTGAAACTCGTTCACCACGTCTTCCATGTTGGCAACGACAGCCGCCCAACCCTGTTGCTGAAGGTGCTGTTCATGGACCAGCGTTTCACAGGTTTTAGCCTCTTCTTTGGCCATTTCGTAGATTTTTTGGGCCAACGTAGCCCGCGTCACAACCGTACCATACGTGGCTGGCAGCTCAAGGCACCTATCCACCTGAGCTTTCAGGTCGTTCTCTGGAATGGAATGGGATGATTGGGTTAATTTCATCAGCAACTTCATTCACTCAACAAGCACTTTTCCCGACAGATCCGCCAAGACGATGCGAATCTTTCATTACATCAACATCACAAAGTGAAACTTCCCAAACGTCGCTTAACAAGACATACCCATCTAGTACTTTTTACTTTTGAGTAAAAACAACACGAAAATCTCTCCGAAGACGTTTAAAACTTGTCAAATCTATTCCAATTAACTCACCAGTCTCTATACTAGGCCACGGAGGAGGTTGATTCTTGACATCCAACAGGCAGGTGCTGAACATGTAGATCGGATTGGTATCTGTACCGGCCGTGTAGTTACACACTCGATTGCTGTCCAACAGCATTTCACCGCCGCTGACCAGCAGGACTACGCTGATGCTCGGAATACCATAGTGCCGTTCTATAGTTTCCTTAAGGGAACGAACGCTAAAAAAATAAGAATACAATGAATAATTTCGTTCTGAAAACTAACCTTCCCAAATACTAAAACATACTTTTCCAAAGCCTTGCTCATCTCAAAGTTGAGCATCCGGCCGGTATCGACGTGAAAAACGTACAGCATGGTTGCGGCTTAGTTTTTCACTCTTTTTTCCAGAGGTGGCACAAATCAGTCCAAAAAAGCAACGGCTACCACTGAACGTATTGAGGCATTTATTACGATTGGCTTGCGCTTCGCCCGCGGAATGGTTTCAACTACAAAAAGTATCGTCAAGGGGCAGGTTACTCCGCTCGTTAGTGGACCGAACTGGGGCTCATCGATTCATGGGTTCAGTCGTTTCCAGATAAAGGGAGATAAACTTTAAGGTTCTATAGCAAGTGAAGCATTAACCAGTTATCTCTCAACTGGCAAGACGCGTAGCAGCCAGCAGCGAAGAAAGCAAATCTAATTGATGTAAAGGGAGACGACGACGGAGCCCTCGGTGCTATCTTATTCTTTCTATGTTTTTGTTGTTGGTGAACCTAAGTTTTCTTTCCTTTCTTTTGGCTAAGTCTCACATTATCACTATATATACAGAACAGTCATTGAGAAACACACGAATGTGTTTGTATATTTACAGGTTCACTTTTCCTCTTGTATCGTTGCTATTGTGGTGTTGGGTAGCTATAAAGAGAAACAAAACATGAAAATACGTTAATGCATTTTTAGTGATGAGCGAAAAATATATTATACTCTTGAAAAACTGTTAGTAAAAGAGTGGATCACTGTAACAACCGAATTTGAATTCTGAAACAAATCGTCTGGAGGAAACATCACCCCCAATGCACCTGCATCGATCGTCAGAAAAACAGATCTTCAAACCGCTATGCAAGTCACTGCGCACATGCAGCATCAATGATTCAGAAGATTAACGCTGAGACAGATTTAATTAGAGCACGATCTCCGCCTTGCTGCCTGCTGTTACAACCAGAACAAGGCTCCTCCAAGTTGCTACGTTTGACCTCGACCGAGGTTGTTTCCTTTAGAAATTCACTCTCCATTATCCGTTTCCATGTATAGCTTCTCCAGACGTCAATCACCTCCACCCGATGATTCAATTATTTCGCGTCTCAACAGACAGCTAGCAAAACGAAAATCAGCGTAGGTACGGGTTTGCGGGATTTTTGTTTTTACTCGTGCTTATGGCAGCATGTTAAGTGTGTACTTAATACCCTCTACAACACTACTATCGCTGTTTTTAGTTTACTCATCCATAACTCACACGTACGATCAGATGGTGCGCAATGTCTTTCTTTGTTCAGCAGAACTCTCTTGGTTCTTGGTTCAATTGGATGAATGAGGAACCAACTTGAGAGGAGGTGAACTCAAGTCAGAAGAAAAATAGATCAAATTAATCGTTCCGGCGTAGGTACCTGCAACAGTTCAACGCACACATCACAAGTGTGTTCCAAATAGGGTAAGTGTACCAGTTAAGGCTATACGTTCCTATCGCAGTGAATAGGGAGGAAGGGGTATAATGAGCATACGAAATGAATTTAGAATCCCCTTTTTCTCCAATTTTAAACATTATTTGAGAAAAATTACTACTACACAGTACCGGTCGCCATCCACCGCCATTTACCGCTCACTGTATAATTATTTCAACCTCAATCTACCTGTTCAACAACTCTCAAAACGTAATCAAACAAAACAATATTGGTTTCAATGGATACAAATCAGTGAAACTAGAAGACCCTATGCCTTTTGAAACTGATTTGAAGGAAAACATGACCCTAAATAACGTTTTCAAAGTTGTTGAACAGGTGAAAAGTGAGGTTACGCGACGCCACTGAATTATTTGTATATTTTTTTCTCTTAATTTGCACATTATAACAACATTACGATCAATGATACTACTGAGCCAAATAACGAATCGGAAAAACTCGTTTTAAAATATCGTCTTTGACATTTTTCAATAATCGAAATGACGTCTGAAAAAGTTTGTAAAGAATAGTGATTTCTTTTTGGGAAAAAAATACATGATATTTGAAAAAAAAAAAAGTATATTTTCAATTTTTGGGCTACAAAATGGTGAGTTGGCAACCTGGAAGTATTGATTGATTGATTTATCTTTATTTAGGGGGCTTTCAGCCTGAGGTTGGTTCACCTCCAATAACCTGGAAGGAGTGGAATGCCTAGCTCTGGTTCTCACATGTTCCTACCTCACGCCTTCCCGAGTCATATGATAACAAAGGACTACCAGCTGAAACATGGACACAGCTGGGTGGCGTAGCCTGGACAATGTTGCAAGTCCGGTAATAGCAAAGTGAATAGGTGCGACGTGAATACTGGCGCGGTAACCATAGTACCAACAATCAATACGAAACTAACGATTTTAAATTGGCTCACTCCTTGACTAGCCTATTGCTCCCAAGCAAACAATTAACGTATCCCATTCTAGTCTAAATTCAACTACTACGCAATGTTTGTTTTGATTCGCTATGAAAGTTTGACAGATAAAATGAGGGGTCATTGGTTTTTCCTATGTTTCGAGGGGTGAATCGATTAGCTTGGGACCGAAGAGAGTACCAGAGCTGAGCCAAAAAGTTGAGCACGTTATTTCGGGACCTTCTAGTCTTAGAGTTACCTCTATGATAGTACGGTGGGTGATAGAGGAAATGCTTTACCAAACCCGAGCATCTGTTCACCATGGAGGTGCGGCTCAAAACGGCGTCTGTTCACCATGTTAGGAGCGGCTGATCACCGCCCTAGTGCCAGCGTGAGACTCTAAACAGAGCTGTGCACGATGGTCCTTGGACAAGATGGGACAGGCCCAACAAGCCTCCCTGGACAAAATTAAAGTTGCAAATACCGAAGGAAGAAATACGGAAAGGAACAATCGGTCCAGACCTAAGCGACGAAATAGGGACTACGATTAGAAATTCGGAACATGGAACTGCAAATCACTCTGCTTCCCGGGCTGCGATAGGTTAATCTATGACGAACTTCAACTGCGCAACTTCGAAGTCGTAGCACTGCAGGAACTGCTGGACGGGACAAAAGGCATGGAAAAGCGGGTATCGAGCGGCTGCTTTCTACCAGAGCTGTGCCACCACCAACGAGCTGGGAACCGGTTTTGTAGTGCTGGGTAAGATGCGCCAACGCGTAATAGGTTGGCAGCCGATCAACGCGAGGATGTGCAAGGTGAGGATTAAGGGCCGTTTCTTCAACTACAGCATTATCTACGTGCACTGCCCACACGAAGGGAGACCCAATGACGAGAAAGAAGCGTTTTATGTGCAACTGCGGCGGCTGTTCGCAACGGGACGTCAAAATCGTCATCGGCGACATGAACGCTCAGGTAGGACGGGAGGCAATGTACAGACCGACATGCCGTATCGAACGACAACGGCCAACGATGCGTGAACTTTGCAGCCTCCCGTGGTATGGTAGTCCGAACTTTGCTCGGGTACCGGCCCCTGATCTTCAAGAAGTTGAGAAGGAGATCGATCTGCTGAAAAACAACAAAGCAAATAGTGTAGATCAACTTCTAAGTGAGCTTTTAAAATACTGTGGTGAAGCACTGGCTAGAGCTCTGCACTGGGAAACTACCAAGATTTGGGAGGAGAAGATATAACAGGAGGAGTGGATAGAAGGTGTCGTATGCCCAATCTACAAAAAAAAGGGCAACAAGTTGGATTGCTGCAACTACCGCGCGATCACACTGCTGAGCGTCGCCTGCAAGGTACTCTCCCAAATGATATGCTGCCGCGTGTTACCATTTGCAAGAGAGTTCGTGGGGCAATACCAGGCGGGATTCATGGGTGCCTGCGCTACCACGGTCTAAATTTTCGCGATTCGACAGGTTCTGCAGAAATTCCGCGAATACAACGTGCCCACACATCATTTGTTCGTCGATTTCTAATCCGCATACGACACAATCGATCGAGATCAGCATGGCAGATTATGCACGAGTACGGATTTCCGGATAAACTGAAGCGATTGGTCAAGGCGATGATGGATCGAGTGATGTACATTGTTCGAGTACCAGGGACACTCTCGAGTCCCTTTGAATCTCGAAGGGGGTTACGGCAACGTGATGGACTTTCTTGTCTGCTATTTAACTTCGCGTTGGATGGTTTGATCAGAAGAGCTGGGATAGACACGAGTGGCACGATCTTCAGGAAGTCCATCCAGCTTGTTGGTTTCGCCGATGACATCAACATCATGGCACGGAACATTGAGACGATGGCGGAAATGTACATCAGACTAAAGGCTGAAGCTAGGCGGCTTGCACTTGCCATCAACGCAACGAAGACGAAATACATGAGAGTTCTAGCAACAATCAATACGAAAATAACGATTTTAAATTGGCTCACTACTTGACTAGCCTATTGGTACCTAGCAAATCGATTAACGTAGCCCATTATAGTCGAAATTCTAGTACTACACAATGTTTGTTTTGATTCGCTATGAAAGTTTGACAGATAAAATGAGGGGTTATTGGATTTTTCTATGTTTCGAAGGGTGAATCGATTAGCTTGGGACCGAGGATAGTACCAGAGCTGAGCCAAAAAGTTGAGCTCGTTTTGTCGGGACCTACTAGTCTTAGAGTTACCTCTATGGTTCTAGGGACGACAAGGTTAGCAAAGAAAGGAACAGCAACTTCATTCAAACGCTGTTCCAGATAGTGTTTACTCTGAAGATTGAAAAATTAACATCGAATTTTTCTTCCTCTAATCATTTTATATTTAGCGTGTTCGTTTATGCCAGTTCAATTTAGTATAAAATGGAATAATTTCTGACTACGTTTTGAAATGACCGTTATGTTAAGCTTCAGCCTGCTTTAATAAGAACTATTGTTTTAAAGCGCACAAATATTTGTACAAACAAGCTTTTTTTTGTGTTTATGAATATCCTGGACATATCTAGGTTAACAGTTCAAGGGGTCCTGTCTGCATTTATCCATTATTTCAGGATTCATTCGAAATGCTAATTGAGTAATGGTTTAAAGAAAAAATGTAATCTTCTTTGGCTATTGTGCCCAACAAGAACTTTATGCTCGTTCTCAACAGAGGGGATTAAAGGCAAAGGGGTGTAAGTGATTTTTATTGATTCTCTTCGTCGATTTTGTCTTTCGTTAATAACTCAGTGGCAAACATATTCCTTGATGCGTTTGCTATCCTGCATGACAGTTAAAAACCTCTTTAACAAACAGACATTTGTGATCGGGATTTAATCCGAGTATAATATGGTTTATATTCACCCAATGATGCGCTATTCAGTGCTCTATACCTTAGGTTTAACGTATAAAACAAGTAATTTTTTTTTTCACGAGTCATATTTTTTAGCTTTTAAGTGGATTGACAATACCGGTTGAGGGATACCGCCATAAACATGTTTCAATTCGATAGATTGTACAAATACAACGTTGTGCGAATACAGCGCATTTTGTTAGACATTATGTTTTACATACAGATCGAAAAGTAAAATCAATTGGCCCGTGTCGGAATTTTCGGTTATCTACTTTACCGTATACGTTACTATACGAATGAATTGTATTGGTAGAAAAATAGTTCATTTTTTATAAAACCGCTTTAAAGCAGCCAAGCTGTACTTGTACCTGTCATTGAAACTGGTATAATGCTACCAATATTTTGCGTGTAAAAAACGTACTTTCCACC